GGTTGGAAACACTCGATCAAATGAGTAGGACCTCCCCTGTGAAGACCATGAACAACGACAAACAGTTAACAAAAAACAGGTATAAAGTTGTTTATGTGAAATTGTGATCAGATTCTTCAGTTTAATCTTCAGCTGTATTTAATTTTAGATACTTATCTTTCTACCTCAACTATATTTTGCTATTATGTGATCAGACATGACAAGGGCACAATAATGACAATCAATTAAATAGTGTCCTTTGTTGTAGCCGCTAGTCGTCAGTCTAAGCTTTGGGAAATGATGTCGGCCCTGTGAGGTGGTCAGTGACTGACCATCCTCCATTTGCAAAGAATAAGATATACACTCTAAAATGGGTGTTTCATTTAAACCTTTAAATGGCATCGCTCATAGCAAATCACACATTAATGTTACAGCCCAACACAACATATCACTGTTGTTGTGTGAAAACCAATTTGAACACATTCCAGTTTCAGTGCAGTAACTCAACTCATAACACATAAAAATGTGTTAATAACATATATACGATGGCATATAAAAAAGCATAAATCCCAATCCCAAGCATATAATCCCAATCCGGACATAAAGGTGTGCTGAAAATGCTTTAGTGCTGCTACCGTGTTTGTACACAGCTGCTTTCCTCTTCGTAACAGCAAGTAAATACACAACAAAAGAAGATGATATCAGCAGACGGTTGGAGCCATATTTCATTCAGGATCTGGCAACTTCAGATAACGGACCAAGGTTGTTTAAAAAAATACTCTTTTTCCATTACTAGCTTTATAACAAGGGAACAAAGTCATATGAAAGACACACAGGTGTTTCAATAATAGCTACCCAGTAAGGTGTAAGCTTTTCTGCTGTGCCCCTAGATGTAGCTTGTCGGTTTAAACCAGCTGTTACTCAATGTGAGTTTTTTTTTGATCAGAAAAACCCTGTAAATATTATGTATAATTGTATCATGTACTAAGATAAATGTGTATCTACTGCTATACTGCATTTTAAGATCTGAACATTATTGTTTTAGTATTTTAGAACTACAGCTCCCATGAGGCTTTGACAGTGTACCAAGACTCATGTTGTTTTTTCTTTGCTGAATACTAATAAAATAATCATCCTTTCATCTTTGTTAAAGGAATAGTTCCACCTTTTGGGAAATACACTGATTCACTTTCTTGTTGAAAGTTGTTGAGCGTTGCTGTATGAAAAAAACACAAAGCTACTGCCAGGAGACCGTTAGCTTAGCTTAGCACAAACACTGGAAACAGGAGGAAACAGTTAGCCATGGCTCACTAGTTCATTCTAACAGATGCTAACTGAACAGACAGAAGAGTCAGGACTTTAGTGTCTGTTTCATTCCTCAAAAGCATTTTAACACTTAATATATTGTATGGAAATGACCACTGGTCAGACTACAAGGAAGTGGGTCAACACATACAAGCAGATAAAGCTCCATAGAAAGTGCATGAGAACTATATGTACGCACGTTAAATACAGCACATTTTATTTAGGGCCACTTTTCATTAAATCCACAGTAATGTATTTATTTCAAAATTTGGCCCCTAAAATGAATCATTCTTTCTAAAATACAACCAACCATTGTGTGACACACAGTCTGGTGACTCAGCCCTGAGAAGCCTCGCTGCAGAAACCAGGCTATCAAACCCCTGAATGTCACCGTCCCACCTGATACAGCGGCCACAATGCAACACAATAACGTGAGCTGCCAGAACAGCCGTATTAAGTGTCATTAACAAATTGACTCATCTGCAAACCGCCCCATGACAGAGTGATTTACCAGAGAGAGACGTTCAGTCCCTGGAGGACGGAGGGAGGGACAGAGGACGCACAGAAAGAGACATAAAAATGGAGATTGATGAGCAAAGGAGAGACAAGGGAGAGAGCCAACGAGGCACAAAACAGAGAAAGAAGAAAGAAAAAACAGAGCGAGACAGAGAGAAAGACAGACAGGCAGACTGATGGAGCCAGAGACAAGAGAAAGCAGGTCAGTCAGTGATGCATGAGCTCACTGGATGATTATTGATCCTCTCTGTAGGCAATTAGAGAGATCAGTTTCTGACTCTACTGTCCATCGTCATGCTGAGAGGAGAGAGGAAGGTCAGGTCAAGATGTTATTACTGCTGGAGAAAGTTTCAACATGGTTCCTCCCTCGACACACCAGATATTAACCGAAGCTAACTATTCCTCCCCTTTTGATACTCCACGTAGTCTTCATGTTTCTTTCAACCGTTCTCAGATATGAGATACCTGAATCAAGAATAAAACATCTAAAGAGGGACAAAAAACTACATACGTGAGCAAAAATGCAACTGGAATTGATAACATTTTGTTACAATGCTGGGGAGCCACAGTTCATAATGGATACTATAGTTAATACTATTACAATAATTCAATGAAACAGAATTAAAAGCATTTGGCCTTTATGGGTGCCCGGTTAGCTCAGTGGGTAGAGCTGGCTTCCAGTAATGGATTGAATTCACATTAATTTGTCTAAATTTCAAATGTTATTATGAACCACTAGTCTCAAAGACATCTTGAAATGCTAAAAATATATAACTGTATTTTATCAAATCAAGTGATAAAAATCAATCTGTCTGGTATTATAAACTGACACTGGAGAAAGCTACACTAACACCATTTTCTCTTATGAAGAAATGTTGTTTTGTGATTCAATTAATGAATAAAAATGTAATAAGATGTCAATGTTTTGCAGCCTTTGGATATATCCAGCTATTACATATTACTAGCATTACAATTGGTGTTTCAATCCCACGCCAACAATGAATCTTCAGAGTAAACAAGACATGCAGCATCATCAGATTTTTGTCCAGCCCTCTCATTAGCCCCCAATCTCCAAACTACTACAAAGACCAGACTTCACCTCTGCACCAGATTATCTGCTGCTGGCCCCTGCTGAGTAATGAACCCACCCTACATGGCAGCCTCAGGGAGAGGTTAATTAGGCACCCAGAATGAATGAAAGGACCCATCAATATCAGTGTGGAAAACACTTTACATTCATCTATTTATTAACAAGAGGATTGAATCTGATTTATGAATCATCAGGATTACTTATATACTGACTGATATAGGCCTACAGAAAAATACAGTTTAAAATATTTAGTCCTAATGTTAGCATCTCTATCTTAATCTATGATTAATTATTATAAGGTGTTAGGCTGCCTATGTTTCATTCATAGGCCACACAGGGAAGACCTTACTCAGTTGATGCGAGGCCAGTTTGCGCACTTTGACAACATTACACGCATTTGTGTTTAGTCGTGTTAAGGGAAAGGCACGATGTTTCCCTGTGCTGCACCAATGGTCATGTTTTCCTGCTTATCCACAACCCAAACAGAGGGTTTGGGTCGAGCGGATGATTTATTGATGAAGGGCCTGGATGCACAACAAAGCGCCTCCCTTTACTCACCCCGACGACGACAGTGTCGTCTCCTTGGAATTTGGGGATAAACTGGTCCCCGCGTACAATCTCCGACTGGTTGAGAGGGCGAAAGCGACACAGCACTTTTATATTGCACTCCGCTGGGACATCGGCCATTGCGCAGATTCAAGGAGGAGGACGGATGCTGCTTTCCTGCTGCTCAAATGGGAAGATGCTGCTGAGGCTGGAGGCGACCAGGGGGCCTGATCTGACCGTCAAAATAAACGACGCGGGGTGCGCAGTGACTCCGTCCTTCCTTCGTCGAGAGGACTGTATTGACAATGGAGAGGTTGCACGGTTTTATCCTGACAAGCTGAGACTGGCTGCTATTTATGTATGCGCAGCTGGATGGTGTTTCCTTGTCGCAGTGAGGCGGACTAAATTAGATGTCAAACCGCAAAACGATCCCCTACATCATTAAAACAACAGACTGTGATGTTGCTCGATTTCCCCTGTTTGCTTTATTTGACGCTGTCTGTCTCTCTCTCGTGTGTTTTCTGTTTTCCTGTTCGGGTGCGGCGGTGGATGTGCGTCTGGCCGGTTGAAGGTGAGATGCTGCTGGAAGGGCAGTGAGGTAAAGCTTGCTGATGATCGGCCAGCTCCGTTCGCTACAGCGCCCTCTATCGGCGGGTAAAGGAAGGGCGTGGTCTGCATCCGTCTCTTTAAAGTGGTACCCACAGCTCAGCATCCTCACAGGCGGGCGGAAACCAGAGCCCCACGCTGCAGCGTCACATCCGGACATAGCCATGAAGGCTAACAGCATTACTTTCTGTAAAGCAGCTGCCAGACCCACTGATGCAGTGACTAATCATCACAGCCATATTTTGGCCGCTCTCCGATGGCTGACTGTATTTCTTGGAAGGTATAAGAAACCATTATGGGAAGGCAGAGGAGATTATTGATTCAAAGATGAGTTTAGGCCTCACCTTGATGGAGCATTATAGTGTCATATGAGCCCAGGATGATGCAGCACAATGTCACAACTGAAAAAACATTACTTCTAATACAAGTATTACCTACACCAAGGCTGCACAATCCCATACATTTGTTTATTAATAGTAAATGCTTGGAAAAAATCTGGTTATTTATCTGCATCAAAATACACAAATGGAGTAGACTATTAATCTAGGACATCATCTTAATCTTATTTCCAATTAAATCTAATCTTAAAGTGCTTTTAAGATAGGATGACAATAGATAAACTGAGAAAAACAAACAACTTCTTTCACTGAAGTAATAAACTGGGAATTGACCCAACATTTAGACTTACACACCTGCAAAAGGATGTAAATGGTTCAGTAAACTGTTTTCTTCTTTAAAATCTTTAACTTTACAGAAACTTAACCAGGGTGCAGGTATGGGACTTCTTTTATAAGATATCGAACACATATCTTGATATTTTATGTCATAATAGACAACAATATCATGCCCATGTTCAATATAATCCTTATTTAATGTGTGAAAGTTACCATTCCCCATACCTACAAACTGCATCACGATGTTCCTCACATCCTCAACAGAAGATAAATCAACACAAAGGTACATTTTCTGTAAATAGTTTAATATTAAATAAAAAAAGACTCCCATATAAAAAAGAAAGCTACAGTCCACAATTTAATCGTCTTTTTAAACATAAGTATTGAAAGCAAAGGGTAGAATGAGAAAAATACTTAATTACAATTCCCAGAAAAATTCACAATTCATTGTTTTCTCTCTTGTCTCTTTCTCTAACAATATAAAATCAAAATAAAACACATTAACTGTACATATGTACAAATCTCCAAGTGTAGAAATTGCATAATCTGCTTTCTTTTTCACTTTTCTTTATTCTTTTTTTTTTCATTTTTTATTTTTTAAATACAGCTAGAGATGCCAGTACTCTTGGGGCGGGGCAGTGTGTGGAGGAGAGCTCAAACAGTGATATGAGGAGACAGAGGGAGGATATTACTCCAAATCCACAGTAACACACGGACTCAACAGATCCACGTAAGACATTATTGCTCTCTGCACTTAAGTTTTCCAGCCATTCGTTCAACCAATCAAAGGACATACTGTTCATTACTTTGTGTAGACCTGGGATTCCGGGAAATGTTCCGTTACATAATTCAATACTTTTTCCCAGACACTTATCTCATGGCTGGGAGGTGAATGTTTTGGTGGCTGTCAGGTGAACAGATATTACAGTCTCTCACAAATTCTTCACAGCAACAAATGACACAGCATTTGAAATGTTTTTCAGATGTTTTTCTGAATTGTTTCAGATCTGTTGTGGACCTTGCAAACATCAAAAACTGGATGTTATCAGGTTCACTTAATTTTCCTGATCTGTCGGGGGAACCCTGACGTGTTATGACATGACTCAAAGTGTTGCACAAAAGAACTTCATTTTTAAATGAATGTTTTCTCAGTTCATTAAGTTATTAGTGAAGTACAAACCATTAAAAGAACATCTCACAGGACATGTGAAATATAAAAAAAAAAGAAGTTATTTTCTTAGAGTGTGAAGAAACCTGATACGGTAAAAACCACATTATTTCCTTGGCTTGTCCCATATAAAGGTTATTTTATACTGTGAATGAAAAACCAAAAAAAAAAAAAAAAACTCTAGTCTGTTCCTTCTTAAATTCTCTTTCAGCACCTCTGAAAACCTTTCAGAACGTTTGGTTGAAATACAACCACTGTGTGTCTCTGCAAAGAGCCCTTTATCTTACAAACAGACAGGGTCTCGTTTACTAAAATGAAAATAAATTCAACTAACGGTCGGACAGTGAGGGGCTCAGCTATAGCACTGTTGTCCAACACACACTCAGACACATAAAAAGACACACACATCCACACACGTACAGACAAACTTTCAACAGAGAGCATCGTTCAAGTAGATGGGCTTTATCCTGACTCACAGTTACACACTGATGAGAAGAAAACAGTACTCTTGTTTTTTTTTGTGTGTTTTCTCATTGATATAATTCTAACACCAACCATAATTAACAGATCTCTGATCACAATGTCAAGCAACCATTTTTGTGAACTAGACCTAAGAGAAGACCTAAGTGAAAAAGTATCCACACAATTTCTCTTCAAATTCCCCCCCCACACTTTTTTATAAATTAATTTTTCAGACTAGATCTTTCTCCTATGTGTTTTTTTTTCATAGTGGTTGCCATAACAATGGTTGACATGACAACGGCATAATATTAGTGCAGCTGAATTTAAAAAAAAAGAAAGGTCTTAACAGTGGAGATGATGGTGGAGAGATGGAGGGGGAAAGAGGCGTCTGGCCGCCTTTGATAGACGAACAGCTCTACAGCTCCCTCCACCAATCACTGCCTCTGAGACCTGGCGCCTCGTCGCCTCCTGCCGCGGACTGACCTCTCAGGCTTCAGCAGTGCTGTCTGGAAGAAGAAAGAGACAACTTTTTGTCACATCAGCCTCGTCTTTTTCCAGCCTCTTAGTGGTGTAATGATTTTACCACTGCAGTCAGAACTGCACAATCATTCCCAGCATGGAACAAAAACCTCTCCTCAGCAAACCCTCCACATTTAGCATTTGTTTTCCACCCTTCACAGGGTAGTAAGTGCAATGTAAGAGACTGAATACTGCCCCTCAAGCTTGCACAGATTCAGTGTCTTGGTTTTACTGTTTTTAGAATCCTGAGCAAAAACATGAAATGCTGCTTTTTGAGGTTATAAGTATTTTCTTGACCTTGGAACTAGCAGCTAAGAAAATAATCTCACCACATTTTAATATCATTTTTTGTTTTATCAAGTGCTGTTTTGAAGACCAAGAATGAACAATGAACCTCAGCTTTTAAGCCAACATGGACAAGAAATCCTTAAAATGAAAATTGCATCATGGAATATAATTTTAATTGTTAGGTGTTCAAATTTGAAAAACATTTACAAGCTGTACACTACCTCACTCGCACATGCTTACACACAAAAATAAATACAGTATATTCAGATTTATTATTTATTTTATTTGGTTAAATAATAATAATGTTCGAAGTTCACTTCTGCCGCCATATACCTGTCACAAATAGGTTTGTATTTGCACTGCAGTTTGCAGTGATCAAAATGTTCAAAAACATGAAACTCTTTGATGATTTAAGTGATACGGTGTACTGAGTCTCACTGTGTTGCTGAAGTTACTGTATTAATGAACTAAGTGCTCCCACATTACAACAAAGAATCACAAACGCCACCTTGTGGATTACACAATAACCATCTACTTTTGCTAATTAGTACTTAAAACAAAACACATCTGAGGGCGATGGAAATGTCCTTATTTTTGCAGGTATTGGGACAATTTAAAATTTTGACCTGATAATGGTGCTGGATGAAAAGTTAAGGGCTCACCAACAATTACAATTAATCCCGAGGGGAACATGAATGTCTTTACTGAATGCCTGTATCACCCAAAACCACAAATGTGAACCTCATGGTGGTGCTGGTGGACAGCCAGAAGATCAGCCACTAACATGGTTAAAAAGCTCAAGCTGTTGAGGAGTAACAGCAGCATATTCATTAACGACTGGGAAAATGCAGGCTGTACTGTTCTGAAATAATCTGACTCAGAACAGTTCAATGATACAAGTAAGAGATAATAAACAACCAGCGCTGCGGAGCATTACACCAATAGATCTGGGAACTGGGTCTTACCGTAGCCTTGGTTTCCTCTAGTGCTGTAGCATCCATGTCTCTGAAGTCTTCTAACACATTCTGTAGCCTGACACACAAAGTAAAAAATACATCAGTATCACATTCAGTACATTATAAACCTGATAGGACTGTTGTTATGAGAAAAATCATGGCTAATGCATTGATACATTACAGCACAAGGTCTTGCAACCAGACCCACTGTGAACTGTTAAAAAGACAAAAAGACAACATACGTTTGTTTCCTTTTCCTTCCTCTTCTGGCTCCACCCGCTGGTCCTGCTTGATCCTTGGGAAATAGAATCAGAAATTACATTACAAAAACATCATGATGAAACCATCTATAGGTACCAGGGGCAAAAAAACAGCAATTCAAGTCCATGACAATGCTAAGTTTCTCTTTTTTGAATTTTTTGGTCCAAACCTAAACTATATTCTTGTGTCTCAGCAGTGTAACTATGCAGTCTCACTTTGTGATAAAACTTTTTTTTGAGAGAGAAACAGGAGACCCAAGCACTCACCCTTCCCTGTTCAGTGTGCAGCAATGTCCCAGCTGTCTCCTCATTGGGCCTCCCACTGCATCCATCCCTGGGACTGAGGTACCCTGCATGAGAAAGATGCCCCTGCCTGTCCACTCCTGCCTCCACATAGGGGCACACAGCCGCAGCGGGCCCAGTACAGTCCGTCTTTGCCTCCTCCAAGTATATGGGTGGCAGAGGAGGCTCTGGGTGAGTATGTCCCTCTACCATGACCGGTTTCCTTTGTAAGGGTAGCGTAGACCCATCCTCAGTGGGTTTGGGCGTCCCCTGAGCTGGGGAATGGGCTGCTGCTTCCAGGCTGAGTCGGGATAAGTCTGGGTTGCGGAGGGAACAGGCCCGACGCGGGCTGAGGGAGACTGGGGCACTTGCCTGGGGCAGGGTTGAGACAGGGGTGGATGGGGTATGGTGCTCCATAGGGAAAGAAACCGGCGGTAAGGCACAGAAGGGTGAAGTTGGGTCAGATGGCCCCAAGTGGGCCCTTTCTTCTTGCTCTTTAGCACTGACTTGAAGGAAGGAGGTATAAATCGTGTCCATGAAAGAGGTGTAAGGATCGATAACAGATCTGCCCTCAGACACTCGCTGTGGGGGTGGGGTGGTTTCTTGGGTAGGGGCAGGAGCTTGAGCTGGAAGAGGACTGGGGACCACTTCGGGAGCAATCTGACTGGCTGGAATGTCTTCCTGTGGGGCAGGGCTTTGTGTTTCCTGCAACGAGACTGGCTTCTCTCCTTCTGAAGGTGGTGCAAGGTTTAGCTGCAGGGAAAAAGGTTGAGGCAATCAATAAAAGTCAAGGATCCCAAAAGAAATGTTAGTGAACCAAATAATTTGTTTTCTAACTAAACTAAAGCAATAGGCATCTGCTGATAAAGATACTTATATTTATCTAAATATTGGTTAAATATATATATCTGACACACTATAAACAGCTATATATAGCAAAGTTTTGCACACCTTTTCACAAGCTACTTGATAGAAATGGTGAAGTTAATGGTTCTAAACTATTAGTAACTAGTAGTTTCAAAGCTTAAATTATAGACACAATATAAAAACTGAGAATGCCACTAAAATTGACGTCACAAAATTCACTAGCAAGAAGACGTTAAACAGCTGATATGATCTGCCGCCAGCGACGTCATTCAAATTAGTGAAAGCGATGCTCAGTGCCAGCTAAAAATGAGAAACTTTCTATCTAACGGTTTGGTACACTGCTCTTTGCTAATGTCAAATAGAGAGAGCCAGAGTCTAGAGAATGTAATGTTATTTTGCCACTACAGGACTCAAGAGTCACACACACTGGTGCGCACAATACATTTACACTCTCTCACCTCTTGATATGCTTCATCCACCAAACTTCACACCAGTTACCTACCTGTATGTTGTTCAGCAAGTTGATGGCTCCATCAGGACCGTGCAGCAGAGGCATGCCTAAAGCAGAGGTCTGGACTGGGGGTAGGAGGATGGAACCTGCTCCAATCCCCAAAATGTTATGGAGGCCTGTGATGGCAGAAAGATCTCCTACAAAGACACAGTTCATAGATATAATGACTTACTGCTACAGAATGCCTGTGGTCTTTAAAGTTTTAATAGTGAGAACAGTAACATACTGAATTTAATCTTGAGAAAATGATTACAGAGGATTGGCACTAACTCACCTAATACAGCAGGGTTAAGCAAAGTGGGCAGTAACTGTTGAAGGATGGGGTTGTCCTTGCCTTGGAGAGATAGGGGGATGAGGGTGTCAACACCAGCATCAGTAGATACCTAGAGAGGAGAGGAGGAGAGGAGTTTCAGGCAAATAAATGACAGAATAGTGAATGTGGCCAAAGATATAGAGTGAGACAAGACTCACACAAATTCTTTACATTTTTTAAATGCAAAATGAAAACATCTGCATTCACATCTGAAATACATTAAGATATACGGACTGTAACCAACACAAACAAACCACATAGTTTGAGGAGGGATTTGAAAATTGTTTAGAGGAAAGTAAATTCATGTCATTCAAACAAGCAACTAACACAGGAGAAAACAATGGAGCAGTTAAGGAAATGAGCTCATAGGTTTTTGTAGGGAAACGAGGAGGAGCTCAGAGGAAATAGCTATAGCAGATAGGGGAGCCTACCTGAGGTTGGGTATGTTGGGTTTGCTGTGCAGGAGCTAAATGGGTGTGGGGAGGTGGGTGGAGCTCAGCAGAGCTCAGGGCAGCAGTGAGCAAGGCAGGGCTGAGGGGCAGGAAGGCTGCGGGAGGAGGAGGAAGAGTGGCAGGAAGGAGCAGAGACTGCAGGGCTTGGATAGAGGCCTCAGCTCCTGGAGGAATGGAAAGAAGGCCCTGGGCGACCTCCAAGAGCCCTGGGCCCTGTAAGGTTGACGGATCCAGGAGGCCAGAGGTCTTATCCAGGGTGAGACCCTCCAGCTGCTGTGGCTGCTGGAGAGGAACTTCCAAGCTGACTTGGCTTAACTGACCGAGGCCAGATAGAGGTAACAAAGGTGCCTGCTGTTGCCCGAACAACAAGGATGCCATAAGCAGAGCCTGAAGGCTAGGTTTTTCTGTTAGCCCTAAATCAGCTTCCTGTCCTGGGTTAGGGGTTGAGGATGGGGCTGGGAGTGGGTTCAGCAGGCCCAAAAGGTTCAGAGGCAGCTCCCCTTGAGCACCACTCAACAAGGGCAACAAGGGAAACAGAGGATTGTTGTTTATCTGTTGTTGCTTCTGATGTTGATCCTGGTTTTGCTGCTGTGTCTCTTGCTGTTGTATCAGTAACTGCTGCTGCTCTGACTGCTGCTGCTCTGCAAGATTATGTGGTGTAGCATTGGAGGGGGGTATCTGTGCATGTTGACCTCCCAACCACAACCCTCCCAGTGGCAATGAAGCCAGAACTGCAGGGTCCAGGAGGGATGGAAGACCTCCTGTGGAGGACAGCAGTTGAAGCAGTTGCTCTTGATTCATGAAGGGGAAGGCCTCTGCCAGAGGTAAGGGAGCAGATGAGTCGCCCACAGCTGAAGGTGTATGAGGACTGTGATTATCCCCAAGACGAGAGGAGATAGTGGGTCCAGGGCTAGTGGCTGCTGGAGGTTTGGTCACTATGGAGACCTTCGGGTCCATGCATCTAGGCTCCTCTGGCCCTGTGAGAGAGACATGAGACATTCACAACTGTTCTAACTGACACAGCAGTATGTAGCATTTCACACAGGATTTAACTGTGGTGGTTGACTCTGGTACAGCATTGAGTACCAGATAGTTAACTACAAGACAGTACATTAAGAAGCTAGCAATAATACATCAATAAACATGTGCATTCACATTCAGAACACCCTCATACCAACACCATAGGGCACAACAACAACCAAACATTTGTACCCCTCGCCCTCCGAACAACAATCCTAAGAGATGCAATCACCTGTAAAGCCTGATCTAAAGCATATAGAGTTCATTTTAATCACACCTGAAAGAGCAACATTTGTGAGAGAATCTTGATGCCTATATGGGTACAGTCAGCATACTCCCAAGATCTATAAATTAGATTAATTCAATGTGCTTTCAAAAGTTACGGTTCTTTAATCAAGACTAAAGACAAACTTTGGACTGAAAAATAACCTCACCTGCAGTGGGATTTCCTTGGGAAGACATCACAACATCAGTATTACGGTCGGAGGAGCAGCCCTCTCCCTGGGGAACAGTGGAAGATGCTGCAAGAAGGGCGAGGACATGGTTGCTAAGATCAAGAGGCTTCGGGGAGCTGGATATCGCCATAGAAACACTGCCTTGAGAATGACTCAGGTCGACTGATGTAGATATGCTGTTACTACCAATCTCCCTTGCCACAGTGCCCTGTGGTGAGGCTTCCCGCAATGGTGCCTGGGAAACAGAGTCTATTGTAGGAATGTGATTCTCAGTTTGTTGATGTTTGTCTGAGGGAGGCGGGGACATGTGCTGGGATGGGCTGCTGCTGTTGTGTAAAGCTAAATTTGAGTTGGGCAGCACTGTAGAAGAAGGTGAATGTCTCTGTAGAGGACTGGATTTAGTAGACTGAGGATGTGATGGAGACTGCACAGATCTGAACTGAGAGAAAGTGGGAGGAGAAAGCGGCTGTGGCACCGAGGGTAGGGGATTAGTGTTACTGGTTCGGCATGGTGACTGAGTCTGTCGGTGCCTGGCATTAGAATGAGGGGATGGAGAAGAGGGTGACAGTCTAGGGCTCTGTTTATTAGTGTGTCCACCTCCTTCAATAGACACAGATCCTGGCTGAGCTGAAGCAGAGTTGGATGCTGAGGCTGTGGCCTGCGCATTCTGCACACTGAGCAGGTGTAACAGGGCAGACAGAGGCTGGGTTGGAGGATCCAAGCCAAGAGGTGTAGGCGTCAGGCCTGTAGTGAAATCCAGGGCCTCATTTTGTCGAGGAGGCCTGGAAAGGTGTGCTATCTGTCTAGGAGCAGGGAGCCTTGGCATCTGCCCGGGGAGGAGATGATGATGGCTTTCTAACGTGACAGCATTCTGGTTCTGCACAGCTGAGGTAGAGGAGGAATGCGAGGAGGGGAAAGAAGAGGAAGAGGAGGATAGGTTGATAGCTGTAGCAGTAACGGCATCTCCTGGTGGGGTCTTCCGCGGCCCATTAGCCAGCTGCTGGGTGTCTCTTAGCATGCTGAGCACTGTGGGTGATCGCCGTTGCCTCTTCCTGTGCGATGCATTGCGCTCTGCTGTGGGAGGCAGGTGGGGCAAGGAGGAAGCCAGGGACTGGGCCAGAGAGTGGGATTGAGGAAAGAGGACGGATGAGGCTGCTGCAAGGGAGGGATGGGGAGGCCTAGTAGAAGCGATGGAGGAGGGAGGGTGGCTGTTATGTAAAGTGCTGTTTGTTACCTTTGATGACTGTTGCTGCTGTGCCTCCAGAGAAGAGGGCAAGCTCACCGGGTTGCTGGCCACATTTGAGCTCTGACCCTGGGTTATCTGGTTAGCCAGTTGAGCCTTGGCAGCTGCAGAGAGAAGGCTACTCGCAGGGAAAGAAGCTGGGTGTGGTAGCTTGCTCTGATGGCTGTGGTGGTTCAGAAATGGCCCCAGTGGTAAACTAGAAGGCCCTGCAGAGTTCAACCCAAAACTAGGTGGTACTGAGCTGGGAATCTGACTTATGGTGATCTTTGAGGGCTTCGAGGAGAGAGTATGAAGGTTACTACTGCTTTGGTTGGTAATTAAGGATGGGTTAGTAGAGATAAGGAGGTGGTGGTTATTAGTGCTGCTGTTGCCTGAGTTCTTAAACTGCTCTAAGATGTCTTCCAGCTTGTACTTGGGGAAGTGGGGGCTGGGGTTTGGGGAGCCACTGGAGAGAGGGGAGTGTGGAGAGGAAGAGGTGGATTTCCTCCTCTGAGACAAGTTACTTCCCATCAGTCCTCCTCCTGCTGCTGCTGCTGTTGAGCCTCCTCCCTGATCAGAGAGAGGGGAAGGAGAGGCTGAAGGGTGGCGGGATCGCTGGTGAGGAGACACACAGTTCATGTTATGGACAGAGGGAGAGAGAGAGGGAGACGGAGAGAGGGGGGAGCCTCCCACAATGACACCATGAGGATGATGAGTGTGAGTCTGTGCTCCTCTTCCACCCATGGTCATAGGGGAAGAGGGAGGAGGTGAAGAGAGGGGCGTGAGCCGAGGAGAACCCGGAGTCTCCGGGGTTTTAGGTGTTCTTTGACCTTGACTGACATTCTGAGGTGTGGGAGTGCGAGGTGACCTCTGGGCAGATGGGAATGAGGAGCAAGAGGAAGAGCTGGAGGAGGCAGGGATAGGAGGAGGCTGGTGAAGCCTTCTCAAAGCCTCTAGGGGATGGTGAGAGTTTGTGCCTGTGTGAAGGACAGGGGAGGAACCATTGTAAGGGTAAATAAACTGGTGGGAGGATTTGGGGCTGGCACAGGGGTTTGGGTGGAGGTTGCTGTGGGGTCGAGCTGTAACTGGATGGAGTTTGGGATGGTAAATGACATGGTCTTCTTCTTCCCGCTCCACATGTACTCGCTTTGGATCGTGGCTGTCCACTCCACTGCTCATCTCTGAAAGTGGAAACACAAACACACACACACAAACAAACACACAGACACACACACAAAGAAAGCATTTACTAAATTGTTGTTACATCCCTATGACAGCATTATATACTTTGGGGTCTTGTATACAAACTAATTACTGCGAAAATACTACCAAGCATGAGCAGAAGAAGCTGAAACCTTCCAATTCTATCAGCTGTTAATTTTAGAAAATATGATACATCTGTGGAAGCAGGATGGGTGTCAAAGAATGCAACACAAAATATTATTTCTTCTCCAGGAGCCTGTGTATTTCCTGGACAGTACATCATTGCATACCTCATATCTTCAGGTTATTGGGCATACGTATGTCTGTGTGATATAGAAATCTGTAGTAGCGTGAGATGTAACCGCACATGTTCAAAGAGATAATGTTATGCTATGTTATGTTATTTTCCCAATACTGTGTGCACTATGGTTGATCTGTGTTAACTGAATGCACATTAGCAAGAGAGCACGTAATGGGAGTTGTTCAAAACATAAACAGACTTATGAAGAAAAGAAAAACAGATGGAGACAGATCCACAGGACCACAGTGACAGAACTACTCTGCTGCACACCGTAAGCCTTGTAAGACTGCACTTGTGTTTGATTAAATCAATTAAACAGCAGCAAGAAAACGAATCTGAACAAACAAAGTATCCACCAACCACACATCATAATTTTTACTGAATGTCTTCTATTCCCAGTGTGATATACATTACTGCTTTTAAAATATCACTGGTTTGATTCTCTGTGCCTTACAGCTTTTCTGCACCGACCAACACTTGTTTTTTCAATCCCACACCCACTTACTCCCGCAGGATTTCCGACCATCACTGACAGTTACCACATCCCACTCCCGCCCACTCCTGTGATGATTCTGATCACAAACAATCAAAAATGTTTTCTAGTGAAAATCTGTCTGACCCTTCCCACAGGGAAAATAAGACACATTTAGCTATTTTATGGATATTGCCTGAGGCAGTAGGAACTAAAAATGTATCTAAACGTGGATATGGATCATGTCACAGTTTCTGTGTGTCGAGGGAACAAGAGAGCAAGGGAGAAACTAAATGGAAACATCTGTTTCAGTATGCTGGAGGCACATGGTTTACTGTAAGACAGTGTATTTACATGCATAGCAAAGCCTGGTAATAAGAGCCTCTCCTACTTTTAGAAATAAAATTTCATCTCTAATTCATCCCACCTTGATGATGACGGTGACAAAGCCCTCACACACACATTAGACTACAATTTTGTTGGCATCCCGCAGGGCCTGCGTGATCATAGTCCCACTGCAGCCCTTTACATGAGGTTAGTACTGCACATGCAGAACATTTAACCCTGTCACAAAAGACTTGCTACATGATGCTGAACAGTATCTGTTTAGTAAATCTGTATAGTACAGAGGTGCGGGAGTACAATGTGTCTCCATGCTTCCAAAGTTACCTGGATGATGAAGGTTGGCAAAAGGCAGCTGTGAGGCCTGCATACTTCGACACAGAGCAGCCATCGCCACAACTTTCCTGCGGTGGTTACACAGTTTGGTCATGTCCTGCTCTGCTTTGCCTAATGGATGGCTGTGCTGCTCCACCTTCACTCCCACAGTGAAGTTGAAAACCTGCAATATACCAGACATAAGAGGATTTGACAGAATTCAGAGAGAACTCTTTCAACAAATTTTGGACAGTTAAAGGGCACCAGTGAGGGTATTTTTAGTCATAGTCACTCAAGCATCATTGCTAATCGCAGACAATATGCATTCACATTTTAAATGAAGAAAAGGTTAGCCATGATTCCACACAGTTGGACAAACCTCATTTAAAAAGTTGGTCTAATTCAACACATGTGGGGATGTCATATGCCTGCATAATATGAAAAAAAAAACCTTCCAGTGCTGCCAGTAACTACTATACTACTTCAATATTACTATAAACTTGTCTGAGTTTTACAATTTACAAGCAAAATTCTATGCACATACAGTGTCTGATGTTAGAGGCTATTTTAAATCTTGTTTATTACATAACAGCAATATCGAAACACATTGCTATGAAAACAGCATGTATTGATTTCCTCAGTGTCAGAACAAATGATAAGTAAAAGAACTGAAATGACCACTAATCATGTGAAACTGAAGGGGTTAAATCATTGCCATGCTGATAAAATATGTGTGTCACAAAGTTACTGAATCTGAAAACTCAAAAATACCAGATATTATGAGATATACTGTACGCATTGTCTGTACTGCACACCCTTACACACACACAACACAAACACAAACGGCTTTACCTTATGGATGATGAGTGGACACTCAAGACCACACTTGCAGGTGCCATCACTCAACAGATAGGTCTTGACCTCGTCCAGAGAGGAGAGGGCAGTGCCACTGGGACTATAGAAAGAAGACAGGAACAAACCTTAACAACAAACTCAAAGCAAATTGAAAAGGTGTGAACAAAGATATGTTCAAAGCACAGCAAAGTTCTAAGTTACAAATCTGAACTCACCTCAAAATCTCCATATTTAACATTGAAGCATTTATAGCCAACAGAGCTGCATATCCAAACTGAAAGATGCTGGGTTTTATGTTGCTGTTTTAGACAGTCCTGCCATATATGGGAAATCCTGAAAATAAGCCTTATTATTTACCTTTGGACTTTATTTCAATGTGATCTCAGCTCCCTGTCTCTTGCGGTCACTTGGCTTGCTAGGTAATATTAATGACCTAACTGATCACAAATCTATGTGACAGCCTACATATGAACAAGCTACTGTTACATTATATTATTATATTATATTATATTCAACGGTACTGAAAATGACCCAAAAAAAGTACAAAAAATAACTTTCTCAAAGGGTCCTACGCAATTTTAGATTTAAAATGTTCTATGTTGCACGCATTAATTTTGAACAAGATCCAGAGACCACTGTCCAATGAAATATGTGTACGCATATCGAGCTGGCCAAGGAAAATAAGGCAAAAGAAAATCTTTAATGGAAAAAAAAACCCCACAACAACAAAACTGCATCTTTATACAAATGTCTAAAACAAATCCACAAAAGCTGCCAACTTTCTGGGTAATTATCCTTCTAAATATGTTGGTAAAACCTTTTTTTTTATTTTTACAGAATAAATTATTTAGCTCACACATATACACATTGATATGCCTTCATATCAAAATCCTTTGTCTAAATATTAATAATCATCAGAAATAAGTTTATTTGTGCTTTCTGTTAAAGTGAACCAACCCACCTGACGTAGATCACTCGCCCGCCCTCCATTCTCCTCTGCCAGCCGATGGGGACGTGTGTTGCAGTGGTGTGGACCCCATCCTTGTCCCCACTTACAGTCTCACTGCCTCCCATCATTTTGTAGTTGCGGCCTGCCAGCACCTTGGAAAAGCAACAAAGTGTTAATACATCTTTTCTTTAATAAAATGGAGTTAAATTTGTTTTAAAACCCATGGGTTTTTATTTAAATAATTATAGATTCCTTTTGCCAGAAAATCATTATTCTGTGAAATTGGCAAAGGCCCCGCTGAACTAAAAATGTATGTATATGCAACAGTGTATATTATTGTGCCTCAATGTGGGTCACTAAATAAGTAAACAGAAACAGGCATGAAATGGATAAATGAATGTCTCTGTAAGGAAGTCACTGGCATATCAATGTTCTAATTTAAGCAACCTGCATGCCAAATGTATGAGTCATGTTCACCTGATTACACAAAACCAAATGTCAATGTCAAACATTAAATATTACATAATGAAAAAGCATGCATACAATAAACTACTTAAATACGCTGCGTTATTTCAATATCAATGACTGAAAATGTACTTTCCAGCTGTGCTCTGTTTCCAAGACGTTCTGGCAAAGAGCCCAATATTTACTTTTCCTTATGTATGTGCTCATGACAATTCAAGCCTCTACAGATAAATATTTAATACCCAAAATATGACGTAAACTTCTCACCACTGGGTGTGGCCACAGCAAAAGAAAAAGCTATTGGTTTACTGTCATGGTTAAGTAAGAAAAAGAATAACTGAAGCAAATTTTGCATACCTTGTCATCTTTGGGAAGCCAGGATCTGTTTTGGCTAAGGTATCCACTGTCCAATGTACATGCTGGTGGGTGAGAAGCACACAGACTGCCAGTAAAACCTGACTTGATGCTCAAACAGTTTCCTCAGCAATGAGGCAGATCCTCAACTTAGAGGATGACTCCTGCAGATTTGTTTGTTCAGTTCACATCAGAGTAGAGTCTTGGATGAAGATGGTGAGCCTGCAAAGAAAGGTGGAAGAAGATTATGTAATCTGGCAGGGAGAACCAGGGTAAATACCTGACGTAAAAAAAAAAAATTATAATAAAAAAAAAACTTCCTGCAATCAATGTGATCCAAGCGTTCTTTAATACATGATTACATGAGATGCAAAAAAATAATACAACTTCAGAGCAAGTTGTGGCTACTTTGAAGTGGGAGGGTGTGTTTGGATAGGCCCGAGGTTTACTGGATGTTTAGCCACAATATAAGCAGCTGCCTTTCCAACAAGCAACTTACAAGCAAACAAACTACAGCAACCCGAAAGGAGCTGGAAATAAAATATTGATGGGATTCGTAGTTGAGCTACAGTCGACGTTAGTGCAGTGTGCAGCCAATGTAACAATATCCCACTAAGTAACGCCAAGCTTTCACGACTGGCTAGCAGCTAGGCTAACAGCTAAGCTAGCAAGCTACCCTACTTTGTACTATGTTGTCGTGACAGCTGTCAGGCGCACAAAACACTCCGATGCAAAACTCTTGCGTGTTAGCGACGGTAACAAGAAACGAGCCAGGCACAATACTGCTTCTCAACCCCCCCCCGATGAGCAGACAGCAGTGACTTATGGACAGGCGTTAGCTATCGTTAATGTTAGCAGGAGCGATGAAGCTTTCTCTGCGTCAAGCTTTCTCGGTGTTGGCGAAGTTTTACAGTCGTCGCTTTTCTGGCTCGCGGGAGAATCAAGAGTTAGCTGGCCAGCTAACGGACTAGCCGGAGAGTGTTTTGAAAACGGCCGATACTTCAATAAATAACCCTAAAATAAATAATTCCATCTTTCAACCCACGTATTAGCGCGATCAATCAGCTATCAGCGTTTATGCAACGTCTGCCAGTCCGGTTTAAAAACAAAGGGCAATAACGCTTCATTTTACTGCGCCTGTGATCTCGGGGCTAACGCTAACAGCTAGGCTAGCAGAGCTAACTGACTGAAATTTACTTGATCCAGTGTTGGTGTCCCAACAACACTGAAGGATGTCCCGCTCCCGGGGCTCAGTTATCCGGCCGCTGCTTTGCTCTCTGCTCCGATAAACCGTCTAGCATCCAGATGTATTCCGGCAACCATTACGATCCATGTAATCCCAAATTCACAGTTTCCCACTGTTTTTTTTTTTTCTTACAGATTCCGAGCAAAAAAAATAATGGAGTTTTCTACCGGGCATGCGCATTGAGTGCTCAGGGAGTATTGTACCCGACATGCAACGGGACCTTTGTAGTGTTCCAGACAGACATCAGTGCGGAGCTCCTTGATAGAGGACATGATAATGACAGCATACTATCAGGCCCGGGATACATGTCTGCAGTTCACAATAATGGATTCATCAGCACCTGTCTACACTGAGTTTGATCACATCGTTTATCAGGATGCAGGTTTAAATGTAGACAACACATATGTGTTTTACAGTGTACAATATATTAATGCATATCACATCCCATATACTGCTGCTTGTAATTATTTCAAATTATTATTTCAATGCCCACCTCAATGTAACATCATGTACAGAAATGTCTGCCAAGCCAGCTAAGTAACTGTCTTGTGTTTGTGTGTGTTTGATAAACAGGTTGTCTGTGATTATCTCAGAGGGCATACTCTGATATTGGTAAATCAGAATCAGAATCAGAATCAGAAATACTTTAATAATCCCAGGGGGAAATTACTTTCGTTACAACTCCAGATATACATACAACATATATACATACAACAGAAAGACTGAATTACACAATCTAGCAAAGCAGGGAACTGCCCTGGGGTATGGCAATTAGTGTGTGGTCATTTGATTAATTACACAGTTGTTTTATAGGACTGTATGCACCAAGAAGCACAATCTTAATTGAAAGGACAAGGGCCTTAAAATGAGACCTGAATTATTACGTAATATTGAGTGAATACTCAAATCAATTTGTGCCTAATTAAGTTACCAAAATATAATAGCTATTTACTAACTAATACATAAACAATGCACAGATGATGAGATAAAGGGGGTGGTCAGTAAGGCCCACAGCTCAATTATATTCCTATATTGTTAATCTGGGGCTGATTTTGATGACCTCATGTTTTTACCTCTAGCACCACCACCAGGACAAACCTTCAATTCTCAGGTGAACCAGGTGTAAACACACATTTATGCTTCTAACATGAGAAAACCCTTTTGATTTTTGTGACCCAATGACCCACCTCCTCAGCTCACCATCAGGTCACTGTGACTTTATCACACACTTACACTCAGCTCCATTCATGAAGTTAATCTAGACAATTATATTTTTATTTTATTTTATTTTATTTTATTTTTTACCAAATGTCATTAAAACATTTGATTTACTTTTTTTTTTTTTTACTTGTATCTTCTCTACATCACCATACACGATGGTGTAAGTGCTGTTTCAAAAGGTTAGATTTTAAGATATTTAGTATTGGAAGTAATGGCCTTATAAACATGTCTAATATATGTGTAACTGTATGTAAACTCAAATCTTTGAACCCCTCAAATTACATGTGTTATGGACACTGAGGACAAAGTCTCAGTGTCTATAACACAGTACAACCATAATAATTAATTTACACGTGTTTAACAGAGCACTGATGTGAATTATCAGACAAAATGTTTAATAGAAAGGTGACACACTTGGGTGGGTGTTCTTGGTCTCCAAGGACTAATGGGATAAGGACATTGAACAGTATGAATGCCTGTGTGTGTCTGCTGTCTGTGAACAAGTGGGACAAGGGGGAAGATGTGCATGTATGTGTGTAATGAAGACAGTGGCAGAGAAAGTATCTGATTTCCCCTCGTCATCGGTGCTCCGTTTGAGGTCCCCAGCTGTCGCAAATAGTCAGCTTGACACATGAGTGCTCAGATTGGCACGCACACAAAACACACACACACACACACACACACACACACACACACACACACACACACACACACACAAAATCATATGTAAGTACACAAATACAGACATATGCTCACACCCGAGCACTTTGGAAATCACCTAAAGAGAAAAATACAGGGAATAAAGAAAGGGCCCAGACTGCGCGAGTACTGACACAGAATCCTGAGGGCCTGAAGTGAGGAGGCAGGTTGGTCTGCTGGTTTGGTAGACTCAGATCCACTGGCCGTGCAGCTCTCCAGTCATCAGCAGCAGGTGAAGGACTCATTCACAGATAGATTTACTCACACACTGGATTTTGTAATTTCTACCCTGAGCTTTGTGAATTCTGACAAGAGGTATGTTCCAGTATTAGTTTCAAGTTTTTAGATATTCCACTAGCAAAATGTGTTTGCATGACAAAAGCATGTAAGTCGGTTTGTTCAGTTTAACTTCAGTAAGGAAGTTACATAAAGCTTGGAAATACTAGCTTAATAATTGTCATATTGCGAATGTTTTCGCCAGTTCACAAGGACTGATTTTTATTGCGGTCATACTTTCTAGAATTTTACTCTTCTTTTTCTGACTGGCAGAGAGACACCCAAATTTAGCTGTGATGAGATTGAATTTCACAACCCTAGAATAGTTTGGGTCAAGTGGACAAGTGGATGCGTACAGTATGTGTGTGAATGTGAGTGCATAGCTACATGTAACTTTTTTGTTAAGTGTTCACACACATGAGATGAACATCCTTTATATATGTTAGTGTATCTGTGTGTGCTGTGTCTTAAACAACATTTCCACGTAACAAATATATGTAATTCTGATGTGTATGTTTTATTAATCACTTATAAATCAATTATTAAGGATTTAAAACACTGAGAAATTGATTTAATACATTTTGACTAGATGCCATGAGAAGGCTAACATTCATAAATGATGATGAAATATAAACACTAAATATCATCTGATGTCATTCAGTTGTGTTTCTAAGAAAATGTATATACATATATGACATTTGGTGCTTGTTGATTTTATCAACCCATGGCATGTAATATAACACAGTTTACTAAAAACATGTTTTTTAACTGTGCTGCTTCAAAAACATGAGATAAAATCCTTGCCATTTATCAGAAAAAAAGCCAATAAATAAATATATATACTTATCATTGTAGGTGGGGCAGTGCTGACATTATCCACCAAACACCATGGACCAGTGAGTATATTTCCTGAAATCATCTAAATTACTTCTACAATACAATTATATTGCTTGTTCTGCTTTGCCTGCCTGCACCTCTTCACCATTTCCACAAGCCTTCATTAAAATTCTAGTGAGCTAAATCTCAGTCCAGACTGAAAAGCACACAAACCTCCAAACCAATGCAGATTTCATCCATGTCTCTCCACAGTTTATTCAAATACAGTAATGTCAGGAGTCTCACAGAAAAAATAATCAACACTCAACTATTTTGAGGTGAAATGGCAATTTGATATGGACACAAAGCACATCAGTTACATCAGGTCACTCCATGAGGTTATCCTGTGAAAACCTTGTAACACAAACCTTGGCAGTTTGTACCTGGCCTGTTTAAGTTTTAAATGTTCACCTACTGACAAACAAGAAGTCAAGTTTAACGAAGAATTAACACTTTGGAGACAATTTTTTTTTGCGTTAAAGTTATAATATGTAGCTGCATGATTTGATCTTACAGTGTGTTTTTTTTCTTTGTGTGTGTGTGTGGGTGTCAGGGAAGATGACAAAAACTCTGTGGATTTCCATGACAACCCTCCAGCTCCTGACAATGTAGTAAAAGAGGACGGAGACACTGTGAGTGACAGGACCATGTCAGCCCCCCCACTGTTAGTGGTGCCATTCCCGGGCAGTTTAAAATAGCCACCAGCTGGGTCAGGAACGCAGTGCAGTGTCAATTGGAAAAATATGAGCCTTGACATAAGTGTTTCTGTCTTGAATCACCCGTGGGTTGAAAGACGTTGGATATACTACACCACAGTTATGGTTAAATCCTATAAAAGTGCATTTAATAAAGGTGCACTATTTATTGGCAGCTCTCTCTCAGTATGACTTTGACTGGGTAGCAAAGGACATAGAAATTATACGAATTGGTCATTTGGTTTGGTGGGTGCATTCATTTTTCAAACCAACATTTTGAAATGTTTTCTTTTACTTTGATGATGAAATGACATGATGAAAAATGGGCAACACTAAAGACAACAAGAGGCACTTCCTTTTGATCATGATCAATTATGGGCAATTTAATCCCTTTTTAAAGATTTAAACATTACTTTTATTTAAACACATCACAATGATGCCAACATACTGTGTTTTTTTAAAATAACGGAGATATGCCCTTTATGTGTCCAGGTCTATTTCATATATGAGGAGGAGGTGGAGGTGGAGGAGAAGGAACCAGAACCTCCACCACCTGTTGTCCGGGTCAATGACAAACCCCACAAGTTCAAGGACCACTACTGCAAGAAACCCAAGTTCTGTGATGTCTGCGCTCGCATGATAGTTTGTATGTATTGGAAATGATGCCAAAAAAACCCCACCAACACGTAAAATGCTTAGTCTTGGTCTCTGACTCACCTAATCGCTTTGTTTTTTATTTTTCAGTAAACAACAAGTTTGCTCTAAGGTGTAAAAACTGCAAGACCAACATCCACCATTCATGTCAGTCCTATGTCGAGTTCCAGAGATGCTTTGGCAAAATTGTAAGTCCTGTTAGTTCTGCTGTCATGCTCTATAAAGAAATATACTCTATCCACAGTACACTGGGCCACTATACAGATTACTTTACCCCTAATGAGACAGACATCCATATATCCATCTAAACTAAATGACTGGAAATACTTAAAAACAAGATATTTTCTTATTGCTTCCTGTAGCCACCTGGCTTCAGAAGGGCCTACAGCTCCCCCCTGTACAGCAGTGACCAACCAGATACAAGTGAGTCTGAATTGTTTGTCATCTATCAATTATTGTCTGTGAAGTTAGTCCAGCCTATTTGTGAAAGTGTATAAATCTGATTATCTGTACT